AAAAAAATGGTACATAGACTTATCAACGGTAATAAAATTAAAAAATAATTTACGTGCATAAAAGTATGTTTGCTACTAAGAACATGTATATGTATTTAGATTTTTTTTTCTCAAAACAATTTTAATGGTTTTTAAATATAAAAAACTGTATGACTAATCTTATAACTCAACAAATTTATTGTTTTATTTATTTCTTTTACATACTTATGTTTTATTTATATATAAACAATATTATGTACATGTATCATATATTTGTACCAAATAAATGTTGAATGTTAATCGGTAATCCAGTATATTGGTATTTGCAAATTCATATATTCGTGTAATTATATCAACAAAAAACTAGATACCTTATAGTTTAATTTTTTTTTTAAATATTCTATTTGGTGCATAATAAATAAGTAAAAATATGTATAAGTACTATATAGGTAATTCGTTTAATAATATATTGAAAAAATATATCTATAGAGCAAAATATGGTGTTTTTTAGATGTATCAATGATGAATTCTAAATTAGTTAAATATAAATGTCTAAATTAAGAATTCTTAAAAAAAAAATATATCAATTTATTTTATTTTAATATTGTAACCTAAAAATTACACAAAATAAAAATAAATACTAATATTTTTAAGAAAAAATGAAATCTTTGTTAAAATTAATTTTTATAAAATAAATATTGAAAAATAGAACTCTATAATTATAAATATTTTTTATGTCTTCATTAATTTGAATTCAATTATATACCGTTTTATATGAAAAACGATTCTAAACTATGATCGACTATAAGTAGTCTGTATCACTAGAATTATTTCATAATATTGCTATTATAACAATAAAATTAGTAATTTATTTTACTATTGTCTATTAGTATTACGGTATGTTGATATGTTGATTTCATTTTTCTGAAATAATTGCATTTATTATCCTATCAACAGGTATTTAATTGTTATAATAAAATTATAACATATATTTATAAGTTTATAATTAATTATATTATATTATCATTTAAGTCAATAATATACCACCTTACCGTAAAACAGTGTGTTTAGGTTCATGATATTAATAGCTAATACATTAAAATTAATCCAAATATTTTGAAAATGGCATTGCATACAGAAAAAAAATTTTAGGTTGAAACAAATCATATTTTTGAATTATAACGAAATAATTAAATAAAGAATTATACCTATTAAATGTTTAAACTCATATCAATACAAACTATAAATGCAATTTATCATCAGAAATTAAAGTTGAAAATCAAAGCACTTTTTTAAACAACTTTTCGTGTATATACAGCTGATAAAAAACTAACATCATTGTAAAAATAATACATTCATCGCTCCAGTGATCAACTAAATTAAACAAGTTAGCTAATAAACCTAAATATGTATATGAAATATTCCCTTTAAGCACCAATAATTAGTACCTAATTAGTAGACACCAGAAAAAAATTTAAAAATAATACAATTATAAAATTCATATGCTTCAGGTGGCACTACAATTTGTTTATATTATAAATGAATAATCTTCATAAATTTTATTTTTTAATTAAAAGCATTATTACTTTCGTAATTACTACCATTTAGATGAAATGAACACTTATCAAACAATTTTTCTATATAATTTTATAGTTACAAAACAATCTATTGTATTGTAATATTATGCACCACTTGTAAATTATTTTAAAAATAAATTCATTGTTATCATTAAATAACTAGCGTTATTGCTCTGATCGTTATCGGACATAATATTATATTTATCGATCTAGTATAAATTGATGCGACATTTAAACGTTAAAACATTTGTACGCAAGGACAAATTATATTAATTCAATTCTTTTATTTTAATACGTTTCTAGGATAATAATTTATTATAAAATATTATAGTTTTCTAATGATATTAGGAATTATCCGTAAAAAAAAATTGACGTAGATAAGAGGATTTTAAAAATAGTTAAAAATTATGAACAAACTGGAATTTTGTCATTTTTAAGAGGGATATAGAGCACAATATTTTTCTGTGCAGTAACAATTAAATTTGGAATTATTATATTTTTAACAACATTTTTAATTTATGCAAATACAGTAAAAGTCGCTTATTAGAAACACTTTGGGACCAAGGTGAATTGTGTCAATTAACCGATTGTTTCTAATAAGCGATTGAAAAAAAAAAATGAATAATAGGTACGCGAAAAAAATATGTATGTATGTATGTACCTATATTGTATAATTTAAAAAAGTATGCACAATTGTGTATATTTTACGATATTATGTAAAATATTTATCATTCGTAATTTGTTTTTTTACGTCGAGTAACTCCATGACCATATTTTCATACGAGTAATATTGCCCCTTTAGCTTTGTCACTTATTTTGAGTGCGTATGTGTGTTCAGGTAGAGCTCCAAAATAAAGCCCAGTCTCGTCCGCATTGAAAATATCAAAGCGTGTGTATTGGGCTAGCAAATCGGTCAAATGAGTTTCAAACCACGAATGGTCGCATGAAAATTGGCTAAAATCTTAGCGTTTAGACATTTTTAGATTTTTAGAAAAAGGAAACACTAATAATCTTTACATACGCACGCTGAAGCTAAACTACAAACGGTACGACCAGTACGTACAGAAAGAGCATTCTCGCGATAAATTACAGTAAAAATAAACGTAACGACAGCAAAGATAAAATTGAAGTACATTGGTTATCGCTAGATAATCGGTGTATATGTCAACTGACCTTCTCCCAATTGTTTCAAATAACCGATGTGATGTTTCAATAATCCGATTTATTTTCAATGTTCTAATATACGGCCGATCCGTCCCGAGACATTTTGTTTCAATAACACGATTGTATCAATTATCCGTGTTTCTAATAAGCGGCTTCTACTGTACTTGAATAAAATGTATGTTTATAAACTAAAATGTTTTATAATTATTCTACTACGCGTATAAATTGTTTAATAATCATCATAAGTATAATAATGCAAAATTAATAAAATTTTGTTCATGTGTCCATTTGTCCCTATTCGTATATTTATACGTATACATACTATACATGTAGACATGACGTGGTCACTTTAAATCAATCAAATTTATTGATAAACATATTATAAACCAAGATTAATACCATATAATATATTAATGATTAAATATGATTTAAGATAAAAAGACACAATATGTTTTTCAATTTTATTAACTTACTATAAGTAAATATACTTATGTTTGGTTTATAACTCCTGAAGTGTTGTTAATGTATTATACATAATACATACTTTTAAAATTGTTTTTCATTCAATCTTGTAGTTTATGATTAAAATATTTACATTTTGAGTTTAACGAAGACGGCCTCTTGTCAATACTGACATACCCAGGTATTGAACGACTTGAATTATGAGACTTTATTGCTAAGTTCAACAGTATAATTTGCAAAACTGACCATTTTGCTTTCTTAATTGTGCCCGCATAGGAACTTTGCCGATCGTTATGTTTGACGAAGCAATCAGTGTTCTAAAAAAATTAATCGAAAAAAGTGAGGAGCGTAATTTCAAAAATTGTTCATAGAATAAACTTCTGTACTCATTACAATTTACAAGCAATAGAAATGAATGTATAAAAATATATATTTACGTAGGTACGTAAATATCCTTTTTACTGTAAATAATTGAATTTATGATTTTTTTTTTGAAAATGTTTATGAATTTATATTAAATTCAAATTCAAATGAGTAATTTTTAAAGTTCTTTAACTTTATGTAGGTACCTCCTAGGTATTAATTATAGTCCATAATTTGTTTAAATATATGGGTACTATATCTGATAATTTGAAAATTATAGTATATAATATTGATATTTACTTATGAGGGCCCAGCGCCGGATTGAGACTTTTAGGCCCACCGAGATTTTAAATTTCTATCGGCCCATTCATAGGTAAAGATTTGATTTTATTACATATGATAAGCAACGAAGACTTCAACCCAAGTATTTAATAATTTGGGAGTTTTTGAAAATATCCCTCTCCTATCCGAAATCGGCTATGGGGCCCATTTGACAAAAATTTTTTATCTCTTATTTTATTTATACTCCAAGCAAAAAAACTTTTCTTTTTTTTTATTCACTTGAAGTTGGTCAGTTGATGTGCATTATTTCATGATAGTTTCTCTGTAGCAAGTTTACAAATTACCCAACATACATTGTATTAAATTACCTCTTATACAAGCAGAGGTAATTTTTTTTACTTATCTTTATACTGCATATAAAAAAAAATACTAAATAAAAATATGAACTTATATATTTATAAAATGCCTAAATTTGGTTTATCATTGATAAGTAAGTTTAAAACTGGAAATATGCAACAATATATATGCTAATACATTATATCTTTATTTTAAAATAAAAACCTTTCTAGGCTTGTATGAGACTATGTCTTAGAATTCAAGAATTGTATAATAATTTTACGAGTTTAATAAGTACCTATCTACTAGAGATAAATGAGTAGGTATACTATATTATAGATTAAATAGATATGTAGGTATACTACATTATAGAATATATTGTTTAATCTATGACTTAATATTTGAGTATATTAACTGAATATTACATACATTTTATATTTTATGTAAAACGTTTATCAAACATTAATCTCTTAAAATTAAATTAATTTTTATTCCATTCTACTATTGTCTATTTGCAAATGTTTATATATATATATTACCTAGAGGCTCAGAAATAACTCGTTCGAATTTGTATAAAGGCGTATCAAAAATTTACAATAATAAACACGATTTAAGATATTTTAGTTCATATTGTTCATAACATAATATATTATATACATATCTTAATTCTTAGTAATTCGTGGTAAAAAAAAAAGGAAGTTTTCATACACAAAAAAAAAAGTTATTGTCTTTATAATATGTCCATGTGGGTATCACTGTGTTTAATGATAACCTTGTTAGACTAAATACACTGATAACCGGTAAAATAACCTAAAAAAAACAAATGTTTTATCAAATACGACAAGTTTCGAGTGGTGTATACTGTATTAAATATTTGAAATCAGTCGTTCCGAATGGTTTTATGTTCTATACGTATTATATAGTAGTCTGATTGTCACGAAATTAGAATTAAGAACTTTGCTCTTTAATTAGCAATTATTGATTTTTGAAATCGTCACGTACAGAGAAATGGCTGCGGTATTGGACGACGTTGGAAAGTCTAATGTATCAAAAAAGACTGAAGAAGTATTCGATGATGACGAACTAGAAGAAGATGTCGGAGATGAACCGACAACCACAAAGAAGAAGAGAAAGCGAAGGAAGAAGAAGACACAAACTAACGGTAAGTGTTATAAAACAATTTTAAATTTTTTACATTTTAACATGTGCATATTTAGACGATGGAACAGATACAAAAGAAAAAGATGAAGTAGAAAAAGAAGTAACCAGTGGTGTAACTAATATTAATATGGATGATGAAACTGAAGGTGAAAAGAAAAAGTCCAGACGTCGTACTAAAAAGAAAGAAACCAAAGTTAATGAACCAGAGTCAAAAGAAAAAAAGCAAACTAATCCTCCATCTGTCCCCATACATGAGCTCTTTCCAACAAGTAATTTACTTAAAAGTTATTAATCTTAAAAGAACTTAAAATTTAATTTTTTGTTCATGCTGTTTACAAAATGGTGTAATTTCATTCTTTAGGAGTTAACAGGCTAAGATATTTAGCATTTTTTTTTATAAATTTTTCTTATTATTTTAAAAACTAAAATTTTGTGTGTTACTCATATTTAAAACTAAAAATAATATTTATTAATCTAGTTAACATGATTGAAAACAAATGTTTGAACTTAATACCTAATCATACAGTAGATAAAAGTGGTGTGATCTCGTAATCATGGTCTGATGATTGTTATTTATTCTATAGTGTTTAAAGATAAGATTAATCTTATGTTAACACTACATGGTATCTCATAATATTTCACAAATTTAAAATGTTTGCCCAAAAAATGTATGTTTTAAATTCTCAAATATTTTTGAAAGCTGTACATAAATTGATTTAATTGGTAATAATTATTACTCGTCTTTAAAAACCATTAATTAAAATAAATGAAAATATTGATAATTAATACCTATTCATCTTGTAACTAACTAATTAGTTTGTATTAACTACTTTATCACAGGCGAGTATCCAGTTGGTCAAGAAGTTGAATATGATGGTCGTATGGGTAAACAGCGAATAACAAGTGAAGAAAAACGAGCAATAGAAAGTTCAAAATATGATGATTACAATGATGCCAGACGGGCAGCTGAAGCTCATAGACAAGTAAATTTATTTATCAATTATTTGTTGTTTAATTCTTATTTTAATATTAATTTTCATGTATTAGGTACGAAAACATATTCAAAGCTGGGTAAAACCCGGTATGACTATGATTGAAATTTGTGAAGAGCTAGAACGCTGTTCAAGAGCTTTAATTGGCGAAGATGGACTTAAAGCTGGTCTAGCTTTTCCCACGGGGTGTTCAAGAAATAATTGTGCAGCACATTATACTCCTAATGCAGGCGATCCTACAGTCTTATTATATGATGACGTTACCAAAATTGATTTCGGCACACACGTAAATGGTGAAGTTAACATTTTCTTCTTTTTTAAACTTTATGTCTAATATATTTATTTTTATTTTTAGGCCGTATAATTGATTGTGCATTTACTTTAACTTTTAATCCCAAGTATGATAAACTTGTAGAAGCTGTTAGGGATGCAACTAATACAGGAATAAAAGTAAACTTTGAAGATTAACATTTATTAAATTATTTAACTTATTAACAATTTATTAGGCTGCTGGTATTGATGTTAAACTTTGTGAAGTTGGTGAAGCAATTCAAGAAGTGATGGAATCTTATGAAGTTGAGCTTGATGGTAAAACATATCCTGTTAAGTCAATCAGAAATCTCAATGGCCATTCAATTGATGCATATAGTAAATAAAAAATTAATGTTTATTATTTTAAATCATAATAAGATATTTTAGCCCATCATATATTATTTTGGTTAATTTTTTTTTTTTTTTTAATACTATTATACTAAAATAGCTTCTATACTTCAATAAGTAGTCCCAATTAATGTTGGGATTTGAAATAAAAAAATAGATTTCAAAGGATATTGCTTATGTTCTTAGTAATAGATAAATGTTGTAATATAAAGTGGTCTTAAAAAAAAAAATTATAACATTTACCTTTCCTTAAAATCTTAATATTGCTTTCTAACTGATTATTTAAATATAACTGTAAAATACCAATCATGACCATGGTAATCCAATTAACAGTGAAGTAAACATCACTGTTCTCTTATTTTAAGTTAACAGTTAGTAAATTCTTGATAACTCAGTTTTATATTACTTGTTTTTTTTTTTTTTTTTTTTTTTTTGTAGGAATACACGCAGGAAAAACTGTACCAATTGTTAAAGGTGGTGAAGGTACTATGATGGAGGAGAACGAGTTCTATGCTATTGAAACGTTTGGTTCCACAGGACGAGGAATTGTCCGTGATGATATGGATACATCGCATTACATGAAGAACTTTGATGCTCCATATGTACCACTACGTCTTCAAGCATCACAAAAGTTACTTGGTACTGTCAATAAGAACTTCGGTACATTGGCATTTTGTAAACGCTGGTTAGATAGGTTGGGTGCAACTAAATATCAAATGGCATTAAAAGATCTATGTGATAAAGGCATGTTTTTATATTTGTCTAAAAAAAATTTAAGTCATATTATGTACTTTATTATTAACTCTATAAAATATTTATTTGTACAGGAATTCTTGACGCTTATCCACCATTATGTGATATCAAAGGATGTTACACAGCACAATTTGAACACACAATTGTACTTAGACCGACATGTAAGGAAATTATAAGCAAAGGAGATGATTATTAACTCTATTAATAATTTGAGTCAATACAAATATTATGTTGCCAATGATATAACAAATACATTGTTATTTTAAAATGTCAACTTTTTGATGACCAATAAATGAAAAAATTTAATATTACGAATTATAGTATTATAAAACCCTATACAAAAAATTGCTGAACTACAAATCAATATTATAATATTATCAATAATATGTGGATAAAAATAAGTTTATTACTTAATTTATAATGTTTCCTCGTTTTTTTTTACACATGCTTTGACAGTTATTATTGACTCTTCTGTTGTTCATTGTTGGTCAACAATGATTCTGCCATACGCTCATAGTCATCTAAGCTGAACTGTGTAAGAGAACGGTCAAATTCTTTCATGAATTCTTTTAATACCTTGACTGTATCTTCTGTGCTATAATGTTCTCGTACATGCTTAGTGATCATTTCTTCTAATTCATCAGGCTTAATAATTTGCTGTTTAACAATTAAGTTCAATCTAGTACCGTCCTTTATTTGTGGATAATCAACTAATGATTTTTCATCTATAATTAAAAATAAAAGGTTAACATAATATAATAAACAATATATAAATATTATATATTGTAAAATTAAAGTTTTAATATAATTACCACATAAAGGACGACCGGTAAGCAATAATCTTTGATCTTTAACAGGAACCTTAAGTGCTTCAAATACATGATTTTTTAGTTCTGCTATTGTCATTTCACTCTGTACCTAAAAATGAATTTTTCGCATTAAAATGCAATTAAAAAAATTAACTGAATCACAGAACTACTAGATAATTGACAATTAAAAATATCTATATGGATTAATCATATAATTTGAAATTATTTGTGGTATAATTAACTAATAAAATTAATGATGTCATCCAAGATTTGAACTAAATTATATTATTTATTTTTTTTTGTTTATTTAATTACCACAATAAGCTTAAAAATAACTCAATGCAATTGTGCATAACTTAGGAACAAAATAGTATACAGAAAAATAATAATTTTTAATAATTAATCATTTATTTAAAATATTATTTAAATTGCATATTATTATACTTAGTAAATATAAAAAAAAAAAATTATAAAAGTATTTTTTGGATAGTAACTGTTATTATTTATAATACATATATTTTAGTTATACAATAATATGAAGAATAAATTAATGAATTAAAATCATATGAAAACTTGTTGCGAGGCTAGCATATCTGCAAATGGTTTTACAAGTCCACGAGTAGCAAAATAAAACACAAGTCCAAAAGTTATTGATATTGGTAAAGCGGGCAAAGCTCGTCTAAATATAGCTAATAATAATAGTGTTAAGCACAATCCAATAAGTATAGCCACAAAACATGCTAATGTGGTATTCCAGTCTCCATAAGATGACGCTTTGCCCACTAAAACGCTGTAGAATATGAAATCTCCTAATCCGAGTTTGACACCTTTATCGTCTTCATCCATTAATCTTCTACAAACTCTAACTTCTTCAGTTTGAGGCTGTTGGTGTTCTTCGACCCATGTCCTGGTAAATCCGTTTTGACTGTCTGTAGCACTATCTACACTATCTGAACGGTTCATCATGTATACAACCGTAGATGAATAGATTAGTGCCGGAAATATTTGTTCATTACGCTCCTCAGCCAATTCGACAAGTATGCGCAAAGGTCCTCGTGGAGTAAGGACAGCAACCAAGTCCCAAATAGATATGACAAATAACACAACCCAAGTGGTCCATTCAGGCATATATTTAATAAACACGAGTGCCATGAGAGCAGCAATAAATATCAAATAGGATTGCTGGAGTCGCAATGGACCTTTCCAGTGTATACACACCATGCCTAGCATACCAATGTTCCAGATTATCAAAAAAAATGTTATATAATCCATGGGAATGTTATACGTGTGTAAGATTTCCTCGATGTACAGACAAGTGAACATAGACAAGAGAAGCAACGATGACATTATGAGCCAACCATGTATTAATTTATAGCACCGATATTTGTACAACGCAATTAGGAACACTGTCATAACGATGACAACAGATATCAATATCAGCGAATTAGCCACGGCATTCAACACTTTAGTCGAAGGCTCAGGACTGGTCTCGTGGAATGGTGTATACACCAAGTACACGTCTTTGACATTGTAGAACGACACTGAGTTTATTGTGGCCACTACAACCAACATGCACATTGACACAGGCACAAACAGTTTAATGACATGTTCGGCGCCGTACTTGAGAGTTTCCTCTTCCTGTGCCGTCAACGAGTCGCGGCGCGACGTTTCCCTGGGGGCAGTGGCGGCCATCAGTGGAACTGTTTCTTTAGGTGTCGGCGACTTGCTACTACTGCTACTCCTGCTACTGCTTTCGCGCATCAATAATACACACTAACGAAGGGTGACGTCAAAGTATAAACCCCAATCTACGCACACAGATCTAAGCGCGTTTTCTCACTTCCTCAACAATGTAACAGAAAATAACGTATCGTTTAAAAAGCGCCTATACTCACGTCGAATGAACATTCCTGTCCATTAAGTATCTTGATGTTGATTTTCATTGTTTCGTGGACTATGTAACAATCACTGCATTTAAACTGCAAATCAATACTTGATGTATATATGAGGAAATGCCGTCGATCTCAGAACGTCATGTCGTGGACATTCGAGGTTTCGCGTTGCTGCCAAGTTGAAAATACACGATTCGAGCGATAGAATGAGATTCAATCACGACAATTCCGAAATTTTTATTGAAATCGGAATAGGTAAAAACACCGCTCGTAGCCGTAGCGGCTGGCTGTCAAGACTCGAGTCGTGATTTCGTCAACGAGAAATAGGTGATATGAAATTATGAAATTAAACAATAGGTACAGACTTACAGTGCGTCAGTGAAAACGATCATGCAGGATGCATGCATCAGCTACTATTCTATATGATTTAATCGATAATTGTATAGTATACAAAAAGCAAGGATGTTGTATAAATTTTAGGACTCTACTAAGCAGCGGCAAATTTAAATCTGTTAAACATCGTACATACGTATTCATCGTACACATTTTAGAATTTTAATAAAATATAAAGTATTTATTTATAAATATCGTCAATTGATCTTGTTGAATCACATTTTAACGTTTCGTTTCAAATAAATAGACAACATAGTCATAGTTTATTTTTACAAAGCGTTACCAATATTACAATTTTTAACTAAGAATAAGCAAGAAATATAATCTCGCAGTTAATAAATAATTTTAATTAAAAATCTGATATTTTACTTTATCGTCACTTTTAAATTCGTAAAATAATAGGATTCGGTTTTATATGTAGATATTTTTTTTATTTTTTTTGAGTACTTGTGATTTGCTAATTTTGATAAATTAGTTTACTTTTATTATTATTATTAATAATCCTCGGTAAAAAGCTTACTTTTATCATACCTATTTCTACTTATTTTACAATAAATATATATTTCTACATAACTTTGTGTTTTTTGAAATCATACAAACTAGATGAATACGTTTTCATACGTGTTTGTCTTTAAATCTTCAAGACCAACATTTTCAAAGCGATATTGATTAATGATATTCTGTACTATACTACTGTTACGTGTGTAAAATATTAGTTTTAGCTGAACTATCTGAACTATATTTTCTAGTAAAGTGGTATTACAACATAATATACAACGAATTAACGACCACCAAATACGAAAAATAAAATAAGCTAAGAAAACAAAAATATAATTGAAAATTTATTATTAATATTTTCAAGTATAAAATAAGTCATTAAAATACTATAAACTATATAAATAGTATATAAACCATTATGAGAGCTAACTTCACCCAGTCTCTCAACTTAATCCAACCGATCAAAATATACGCAATATTTTACAAATTGATAGTAAATTGTTATTTATATCCAAAAAATATATCATTAAAATTTTACGAAAAAAAAAATAATAAATAATATAAAAAACATATTCATACTAAAGGGCGGGTCATAAATTGTTTTCAGCGTTTTAACTTAAAACTTTTAAGTTTTAGCTGTGTGTGAATCTGTAAATGACTCTATCCCTATATTTAATTTTGCTATAAAAATTACTCCAGTCAGTACAACCCTCTCCTCGCCACACCCCAAATCGCAATCAACTAATTTAAATGCCTAATATATAGTTATATATACCTATGCTCGTTAAGTACCTATGTTAATAGCTATATACATACATACCTACTCGTAATCATATAATAGGGACACGTTTATTAATATTTACAATGTAAGGTAGGTATCTATACTTAAATATGCGTAAGTACAGCGTTTATTATTTACCTACTAAATACATATCGAATAATAAATTATACGCAATATGTATATGTATCTGTTACGGTAAATGATGTTAAATGGAAATTAACGTTATTCACCGGTTATTAACGTTATTTACCAAATATACAGGTAATTATCGTTATAAACTGGATAATCACGTTAATGACCAAATACACAGGTAATTGATGTTATAAATCAGATAAGCGCATGAATCTCAAATACAACAATTTGAAAAATTATGTAAGTACCCAGATATTTTTAAAAATAGAATAAATGCATTATTATTTTTTATTTATTTTTACAAGTTTTACTCCCATGACATTTAATATAACATAATTTTTCAGCCCCAAGGTAGGCACAATGCTTATTGTTATTACAGCTAGTCTTGCAATGACAACGCTGGTACCTTCGAGGGCTCGCAACCGAATTATTACTAGCTACTTCCCTCAGTGACAACTGTCTACCATCTGCTAATTTTATCACATTGTCCATGTCTAATAGATTTTATTTGCTAACAGCTATTTTTGGAATGTGAAATAATATTTTTAGAAAACTATATTCCGTATTTATAAAATAATAAAACAAATTTTAATTTTAATAGTATATTTTTTCATTAAGAATTAACTTACAGAGTTTGTATAAATCATGTTCAACTTGAGTGACAACTGATAGTATATTTTGCATAGAACTACGAGCTCTATCAACGTTTGGTATAAATACACATACAGTTAAGCCTATTTCAAGCTGAGGAAACTTTTCTTTAGAAAATTTCATCATTTCCTCTCCTTGTTTTTCTAAATTTTTTTTTGAATTTTTACATGCAATACAAATATTTTCTTGACAATCATCAAAAAAATATTTAAAATAATTTTCAAATATTTATATTTTAGTTTTATTTTTGTTATATTTAAAATTCGGAAATTTATCGTTAAATAATTAAAAAATATTTAAGTACCAAGTTCCGAATTTTTTTCTGCGATTTCTATGATTTAATATCCGATTTTGTCTTCTTTGATGATTAGTTCTTTGGTTATTTTTTTAAATCTTCCGCAATAACCTCTTTTATTTTATAATCAGATCAAAATTTCCCAAATCATACGGTTATTAACGTTATTCACTAGAAAATAACGATAATTCCCACATTCGTAGGTAAATAACGTTAATAACCGGCGAATAACGTTAATTTCTGATATAACATCATTTACCGTAACATATCTATTAATAAAGGTTAAATTAGCTGTGTATTAATCAATTAACTTTTAATGAGAAAAAAATACATTTTACATAAAAATATTTTGGACAATTGAAGTGTATTAATAAATGCATATTTAATAATATACCTAACTTAGAATTATGAAATTTCTTCATGGTTATTTTGATTGATTAGAAAACTTTCCTAGCTGTCCACACTGATACATAAGTGATAAGTGAGGGTGAACCATCAAAGGTCCATATTCTCCGTTTGCCTGTTTACAAAAAGATTTTATTTTTAGTGACACAACTACACAAGGATACGCAATGAATATACTTATAATTATTTTATATACATTGGAACATAATATCAGTACTTATAATTTGCAGACTACAGACACTACCTACAGTATAAATTTATCTGGGCCGAGTCTAAGAGGACCGTATATAAAATTCAACACCAAAGATTGTATAAATAAATAGAGATTTCTATTTATTATAAATTATAATGATCAAATGATCAATTAGTTAAATTAAAATCATAATCATTACCTACATAATCGTATAGAAACAAAAGACATTGACTAATGAAAATTGAAATGCATGATTTAAATTAAGTACATTACATCCAGATCCCTGTAGAGAATATTACCTATACGACTGGCTATATAATATAACTACATATTATATAACATAATATAATCTATTCACTATTGTCTATATGTCATAAGCTCATAATAAAATAATATGTACATTTTTTTTTCACTCACTTGTTTTTCGTACACTTGTTTTTCATCTACAGTCATATTATCCCAACTATCTAAAATAATTTTTCGAACGAAGTCTGTGGGAAGTTCGGGCTGTGTCCAATGATATAAGTTCATAGTCTTTTTTATATAGATCCGTTTTGCTTCACTTTGAGTCCAGGTAGAGTGATGTGGTCTTTTATTTGGTTTATTTGTCTGCTGTATTTAAAACATAAATAACGACTAAAAATATTTTATTTTTTTTTTAACAAATATAAGATACCTAAAAAAATGTTTTAAATAAAATATAATCATTTAGTTAAAAACATAATCTATACCAGCGATTTTTAATCTTTTATATATTATCGATCCCTGATAAAAGATTATTAGAAATTGTGGACCCTCTCATCAATTTGTTTTCGAATACCTTTTTTTTTTACGAAACATCTCAAGTTATCATAACCAAAATTATAATAATTATTATACATTAAAAATTACATAAGTAGACATAATATAAAACATATATTATACATTTATAGTTATTTTTATTACACTTAATTTTTCATAAAAAAGTTGTATTAATTATTTTATTTTTAATATTCTTTAAGTTTAAGTTTTATTTACTTAATTCAGTGGCGCAACCAGGATTTATTTAAGAGGGGTGGGGGGTCCAAAAAAATGTATTTATCTACAGTTTTTCTATTCTTTTCCTTAAATAATACATACATTTTATTGCTTAATAAACAAAATTATATTATTTAATATACATATTTTTTAAATTTTTAAATTTATATTTACAATGTATGTCAATAATTATTATTATTATACCAGTTAAATTATGATTTAGTCATTAGACATTAGTCTTAATATTGATTTTATCTATACATCGAATTCGACGTGTAATTAACAAAATATCAATTAATTAATAATCAATCTAACTAATAAAATTTGATGAAAATTTCAGGGTAACTTTAAAAAATAAAAATAAATACTATGACATAAGTCAAGAGAGGATCCAGACCCGGGGTCCACCCTCTGAGTTCGCCACTGACTTAATGCGATGGTTGGTGTTGCATTTAAGTCGCAGTAAATAAACGACTACCGAATAAGGTGTTGTACGACTGTATATTTTGTATATGAATAAGAAAAACTGATAAATAAATTTTAATAATAAAATTATTGATAGTGTAGAATCTACTCTTATAGGCTATAGTATTTAACACTGTAGATACATAATTATATCAAATTCCATTATATTTCGTCATCGGTGTAATATAGAGAAGATAGGTCTATCTGTTATATAATAAGATATATAGGTAATTAATGAAAAAAAAAATAAAAAATAAAAATCCAACAATATTATTTTAATAATGCCCTCATGTCACGTATTGAAGTATGACGTACCTATGTTATGTGTTAAGATTGTCGCAGACCTCTGACTCAAATATCATGGACCCCTACATAGGGGGGGGGGGAGGCGAAGATCACAGGTTAAGAATCGCTGATCTATACGTCATTTTTATAATAATACATTATACTTGTTTATAAATATACTGTCTTTCAAGTAAACCGTGTACTATGGTTTGTTGACGCGAAGACTATTATTATTACTATTTTAAAGTTACAAAGGTATAGTAATTTTAACTTTATCGATCACTATAATAAATGTGGTGATGTCGTAATGGCCATAGTCTACTTTCTACTTAAAAATAATAATATATTTCAGTAGAAATAATGGAATGAATACTCTAATAATTAATAAAATAAGTATAGTACTACCTAGTCTAAACTATGTAAAATTATAGATAAATGTTAACAAAAATGTTCTTACTTTACGCATATTGGGTCGAACAGGAAAGTTAGCGAAAGCTATGGATCCAGGAACAAAATTATCTGGAAGGTTAAAATGTTTCGAATCTTCAGACTTTTTATAAGGTAAAAGTTTTTGAAGTTGTTCGGGAGTCATTTCAGGTGACGGATAGTTCTAGATTAAAGAAAAGTATTAAAAACTATAAAATAATTTATTTTAACTAAGATAATAATATATTAATTTGTACTAAGTACTTCAAGAGGATTTGAAACATAAATTTTGTAAATAGTTTTATACTAGTTAATTTTTATATATTAAATCATTATAAATGCATCATATTGTATATTTATAGCCATGAAGGAAAATTGATTAATTTTCATTACGTTATACCAATCGGTTAAATGATGCGATTTTTAATGATAAAAAAAAATACACTATAAAAGGAAATAAAAAAAATTACCTTACCCCCATTTTTAAGATTCTTATCGTGTATTAGGTATATCAATCAGTAGAAACTTAAGTAGTTAAAAAGAAAATTAATGTTTTTAAAGCAGAAAATAAAACAGTTCATTAAGAAAAGAAGTCTGTTATCACCTTTTGAAGCAGTAAAAATGCTTAAAATTTTGATTTAAATATCTTTTTTAGTACGAAAGTGAATTAAGTTAGTTCTTTGAAGAGATCAAAAAAAAAAATGTACTCTAGTTTTCTAAACAAATAGAAAAAAAAATTTGAAATAAAATTAATTATGTAATTTTGATGTAGGTACCTACTTAATTCAAAATCGAAAACCATAGATAGGTATTTGACATTTTCACCCAATTAAACAATTATTGTCTATACATGGTATAATTTTAAAAATATACCAATTGATTTTTTTCAACTATTAACAGACATTTAATATTTACTACTTATTTTTAAAAATTGATTAAAATATAAATGTATATATAAAAAATATTAATTATACATAAACTCAATTTTTTATAAAAGCATTTGTAGTCATAAAAGTTAACTATTAATTATTATGTTCACCTTAAAAAACTGGACACCATTATAGATGAGATAACTGATCAAAATGTCTACGCTATGCATTACTTTAAAAAAATATCCCTATGTTTTATAATCTATATATACACTTATTTTACAACTAGTGGCACCGGTGAAGAAACAGATATCTCCACTTTTTTTAAATTGATTAGAAGAAACAAATAGCCAAATAATTGAATTTCTAATAGAGATAAAAATATTATAAAAACATATTTTAATTTTCCGAAGACTCCAAATCAAGAGCTAACTCTACTTGTATATATTTAGATATTTTAAATTATCTTAAATACATTAAATATTAATAAGAAAAAATAAAAAACACATGGAGATACCTCGTTATTGCACCGAAATGACATTTTTATTTTAAATTTTGACCTAACAACAATTATTTAATGTCAAAATATAATCACAAATAAAACAAAACTGTGCAACTTAAAAAAATATTTATCATAAACCATGTTTTACAACATAGTATAGAGAAAAACAATATTATTTTGATTTATAGTAATAAAAATAAAAATCATTAAAAAATATGAAGATACTAGGTTACTGCATCGAACTCTATAACCAGACATATCAATTTCTATAATACCTATTAGCTTAACTATTACCTGGTTATTGCATCTAAATGTTGACAAAAACATGCATTTTGGAAAAAATAGAGATATTTCAGATATATGGTTCTTGTACCAAATCTTCCAGACCCTTTTTGTATAGTTAATATTCATATCCATCAGTCAATAGTTATCATCATTATAGTATGGGGGTTAGTATAAAATAAGAAATTGACGCGGTTCCGCGTAATATTCCGTTTGAATTCAAACGGCCTTTACGCTGAAAACCGCGGAACGACTTCTCTATCCAACCGCCAGCGACGACGGACGACGCCGACGCACGACAACGGCGTCGGAACGTCTTGACCGCCGATACGATACCGCGAACGGCGCGAACCTTTCCGACGACCGGAGTGAGTTTTTTCCAGACACCGTACGCGGTAACGTCACGAGCGAGATCCCTCTCCGTTGACTGTCACAGTAAACTTATTTTACACCTGGACAATTTCACAACATTGTCACCACCGACTATCTTGGTTTTTCGTTAACAAAACTTGTTTGTTCGTTTTCACATCAATAAACCGGCGAAGACCGATTTTTACCGAAAAAAGGAATTGTGTTATTATTTTGCTACCTCTACACCCAACCGTCCCATTCCACCTCCAGGTACGCATCAAATTGGCTCCCCGGCGGGGAATCGAACCCCGGTCTCCCGCGTGACAGGCGGGGATACTTACCACTATACTACCGAGGACATCCTATGACTCCTCATGCTTCCTATCACTTGTGTTTTCATTCGAATTAAAAAAATTATTGGAGAATTCTTAACTATAGAATTAATGATCTATAAATAATAACTTGTTTTCAATTGAGTGATTTTTATTGACTGTACCTCGCTACCTTAAATCTAAAATATGCTACTGTATTTATAATGTTATTATATTTGGTATTACCATTTTATTGTTCATATTGTTTAGATTGAAAATGTTTGTTGACGTAAGTTCATAAAAAAAAAAAAAAAAAATTGTAAGAAATACAATTATATTTTTATGTCAATGATGAATATTAATAACATCGAAATTTGTTTTTACATTACCTACTATAGTGATACATAATTTTCTATGCCATCTACTGCCACAGATGACAGACGTATTGATCTATGCATAGAGGTGCGTTAATTAAAAATAAAAGATTATTAATTTAGCTTTTTAATCTCATGAAATCTCGAACATTGAACACAAGAGTACACAATTTTGTGTAAAGATACAGAAAATATTCATAAATAACTATTTAATCACACTGTCCAGTGTCCGTAATCCATAGTCCATACCGAAGTAAGATAGCTTTCTCAACAAAAAAAATACTGGTAGGTACGATTACTTGAGTTGCGCAACGAATTGTACGTTTTTTCACTGAATACTCATTTAATCACAACTCAGACTTACTAATCAAATTTGGTTAATTCAACATACTTGGCTGATATTTTGTCAAAATTAAATTTATCAATATAAAATAAAATGACCAGTTGTCACGGTTATGACAAAATTCAAATTTAAAAAAATAGAATTAAATTTTGGGTAGTGTTTTTTCTCAACATAAAATTCATAGTTTTACTTTGTTAAAAGAATATTTACAATCAATTGAAGGTAATATTGAAGAATTTAATGAAATATATAAAGAAATGAGCAACATTTAAATTAAATACTGTAGTCATTAAAAAAATATTTTACGGAGAGTAAAGATATACAATTTATCGAATCATACATTGGGTTAAAAATCCAATTTTAATCAAAAATAAACTTGAAGAACTTTGCAACTGAGTATGGAGAATTTATTGAAATAACCCCTGATTCTATTTCAACTTTTATTTCTTTAAAAACTTAATTCTGGCTAAAAAAGCTATACTATAGTCTATAACACTTCTTTTTGCTACCACGTATTTATGTGAAACTGGAATTTTATTATAACATCATGAACAAAAATTAAAAGTAATAAATATTTAAATTTAATATATCATAATTAACAGGGGTAAAAAAATTCTTGTAATTCTACTAAAATATAATTTTTCTCTTGTAATTGGCATTTTTTTAATATTTGAAATATAGTAAAATAAATACAATTAACGACCACAATTACTTTGAAATACTGGTAATATTGGGCTATATTGATATCCAACTGTCAACCAGTCATAATACATCATTAAACTATAATGCATATTTTTATATTTTAATCAAGTTATGAGTTGATTTCTGATGCCAGATTCAGTTCTGAATAATCAACAACTAAATTCACAAGTAACAAAGTAAAACCAAAAAATTACATAATATAGTAGTAAATAGTATATGGGACTAGCTTTAACTCTTCCAGTGCCAAGTGCAAGAATTATTTTGGTGTCCCTCTGATCAAATTTTAATTTTGACACCATTCACGCGCTCTTCAGATTATTTTCTGTGTTGCCGCATGTGTTAATTGTATCTAAAACTGGTCTAGATAGTATACAATTTCCTCCACCCAAATAAAACATATTTACAAAATATTATAATATAATTATGATGAAAAAATACATAAAGTATAAACCCAAATTTTGATTTTAATAAAAAATAAATATATTTAATATAATAAAACAATCATAATTTATAATTATTATTGACAAAAATAAATATTTGGTATTCATTATAATAATATAATATAATATATCTATTTAAAAATAAATAACATTTGAACACAATTAAAAATTTAATCATTAAGTAATATAACTATATTATATATCATTGATTAAATATACAATATGAATATTTAATCAACATAAATGAATGATAAACAATAAAAAAAATTAAAATACTAACATAGTAAAATTAAAAAAAATTATATTTTGTTTTAGAATAAAGTTGACTGGTCTTAAAAAAGCATAATAATTGAACTTTAATAATAATGAACATTATTAAAATTAGCAAGGCTAATGGAATTTACTTTGGTCATTCATTTTAAATAGTTATACCAGGTTTAGGTTATTATTTTTAATGATGAAAGGTATAAATGTTCTATGTGGTACATTTAAAATAAACTCTTGATGTATTAATAAATTTAGATAAATGACAATTTAAGAATATTGATTTATCTTCAAAAATAATTTCATTGACACATAATAATGTAAAATAATAATTTTTTTAATTTCCTTCATAATTAGTGCTTTTTTTATTTTGTACACATAGATTTTATAACAGAGAACAAAATAATCATTAACAAATTAAAGCAAAGATTTATTAATTAAAAATATTATACCATGGCAGTAAATATTATAAGTCTTAAATTGACAACTATTTTCTTAACCTCAATTAATAATTTTTAAATTAAGCAATGAAATATAAATATATGGATAAATATTATATTTATTATTTATTCAGCAGTAATATCCAACTGTAATGGAGGTATTAATTTCCATATATGTTGCTTTAATGTTTGACACTGCAAATTCAATTTGTATTGACCTGGGTAGAAAAATATTACCCCACATTCATGATATAACCTATCATGTTTGTTAACCTATATTTAATAATTTAAAAATGTAAAATTGTTTTAAATGTTCAATTTATGTATTTATTAACTTAATTGTTGTACTCACTCTAGTTGTATGAGTCTTAGTTGATCCAGTAGTAGCTAATCTATTTCCTAATTGACTATTTGTAGTTCCATTCTGATAGTCCTGGTAAAAATTCAGTTCCAATGTAACGTCATCCAATGGAGACATAAGAGAATTGTGTACCCAAATTTGTAGCTTTAGTTGTTGACCAACAGGATATTGAGATGTTTCCGATAATAGCTTTTCATCACACTCACTTACAATTTTTTCTTCATTTAAATTTATTTCTAGTAAAATTATAAATATATTATAATATTATAGATTTGATTTACAAACATTTAGTTTAATAAATTACCCCAATAAATAGGTGATGTGCAAACAATATCAAGCATTTGAGGACACAGTGTAAGACCGTATAATTTTGCAACACCCCATCTGGGTGGTAAATCATCATATGAATTAACTGACCATCTTAACAAAACTTGTTCAGCTATATGTTTGTTGCATTGGGATACCATATCAGCTTGTCCTTCTTCACTACTACTAACCTAAAACAAAAACTTATTTTAATATAAAAATACATTAAATACAGATTATTATTTATAAAAAATGTCAGTAAACCTGTTCTAAACTATGAATTAAAAATCTATCAACAGGTACTGGAATTCTGTAAGATTCTTTTTCTTCCATTAAAATGCTTTTATTTGTTGCATATTTAAGTTCCATTTCTTGATTAGTGACATTTACAACATCAAGTACCAAATAAAATTGAGAACCCCTAAAATACAAAGATATTAATTACATTTGTAAATAAAATAATACAATATACTCACGTTTCTGCTTGTAAGACATCCCATCCAGTTACTAATACAGAATTGAATATATTTAAAGATAAAAGACATGAAATTATCCTGCAATAACCAGCAGCCATACCTTCACCTCCGGCATATTTTATTTTAATATTAAATTCAATTACCTAAAGTTAAAGATGTTTATTATTGATTTTAAAAATGTATTATAATTAAAACAATAATTATGGATTATTATAAAATGATATAGATATAATTTATAAATGTATTGATTTAAATTAAATTTTTAGTAATAAATCATAAATAAAATAAATATTACTTTTAAAGATGTTATATCAGTTGGACTTCTATATCTTGAACAATTTGAATTTAAACTGCTTTCTCCTGATCTGAAAAATATACAATAATTTTTAAAGTACATATGTGTATTAAAATTCAATAGATTTATAAAAATTAAAAAGTAAATCTTGAAATGAATTTACCGAAAAGATGAAGCAGTCATAGGAGACAATCTTTCATTTCTTTGTTTAGGACTATGTAATGAAGGATATGAACTCGGACCAGATATAGTTAAACTACTTTTCAAACTATTTAGTTCTATTACAATAAAAATAACAATAATAAATACAATTTTTAATATAATTAAAAAGAACAATTGAATGCATATTAGTTTTATCTTATTTTAATAATAATATTACCTGCCAGTGGATATTGGTTGCTGGAAAGGAAATTTAATGCACCAGTTAAATGAATACCCATAACAATTTCTGATTTAGGAGTTATTGGCAAATAATCTTTTATATTTTCAGTATCAACTTTAATTATGCTATTTTTTAATGAATTTTCAATAGTTGATTCAATTGATATTTCCAAAAGATCAACAGAAATTGATCCGACATTTAATATTTTTAGATTATAATCCAGACTAAAAATTTAAAAAAATAATAACTATTTTAGCAAAGAATATAAAATGTTTTATATACCTTTCACCAGCAAATAATGTAATATTAGATATAGTATCATTTTTTGAGTCTAAAATGAATGCTTCTAGACACGGCATTGACGGGATAACTTGTACATTATATGTTGTTTCTGGTACATTTGGAATATTTTTAAGACGACAATTAGATTTCACTCCTAGCGTATGAGTTGAATAACCATTAATTTCAATGTTCCCCACTTCTTTAGGTATACCAGTTAACACCACATTTTGATAACTAATTTCTGGTGGTAAGTTTATAGAAAATGGAATACTTTCAAAGACAGCGCCATTAGTTAATAGAAGCTAAAATCAAATTACCATTGAACTATTATAGCATTATAATGGTAAAAAAAATAATTAGTAAATAAAACACTTACAATATTAGTTACTTCTAATTCAAAATTTAATGGATTACTGAGTTCTAATATAACTTCACAAGGTTCATTTATTACCCAAACATATTCCATTTTATTACTTTTAATATTATATTTTTCCATTGAGCCAAACTTCAATGGAGTAAATAAAAATGGACCAAAATCTTCTTTAGCTTTAACTAACTTATGTGGCCTTAAGTGAAGTTTTAAATTTTGAACAGAAAAGTTTCTAAAATAGATTATAATATAGTAGATAATTAAATAATTTGTTAAACTGAAATTTCTTACTCAGGTTGTGGTATATTTAAAAGATTTGCTGGAGGTATTACAAGCCCATTATCCAATACAAGAGGAACAGGAGAACCTTCACATTGCGCAGATAATACAGACAGTTGTGTAGCATAAGCACTTCTTTCTACTTTGTCCATCATCCACCACATAGTTTGTAATAAGAATGTACAATGCCTTGTTGCTAAACTAGCGTTTCCAACTCTTTTTGCAGCTAAAACAATTTCATTAACTACTTGTCGCTGTAATTCAGGCCATCCAAATTGCCCTCCAGGTACATAATCATTTGGATCCAAAGATAACTTATGTCCTGGCAACATTTTAAGTAATAACTGATAGCACTGTTCCCATGAGGTATGTGGATTACTAGCAGAAACATATCTTTTTGAAGCCAACCATTGAAAAAATGATGCTTTACGATGAAAACCAATTTCTGAGTATAATTCAGCTAATTTCATTAAACGCTGAATCTGGATATTAAATAATATAAATATATTTTAAACTTATTTATATTAAAATGAATTAATTATAATAAAGTTGATTATTTATTTATTTTTCTAATAATATATTGAAATTTAAAATTACTTTTTCCTCATCAGTCAAAGTCAAGTTTACAGGTAAAACATTTTGTAAAAAATAATGGACATGTATAAAATGATGATGGTCAACAGCTATACGAGCAGCTTTTAGACTTCCTTCGGTTAATACTACTCCAGCATTTAAATACTATAAGATAAACAAATATATTATAAAAGTATACAATTTTGCGTTAGACAAAAACTGAGGAACTGATTATTTTATGGATAAATGAATGTGTGTGTTTTTGTGTAGGAGGGTGTTATGGTTTAGTTAACATAATAATTTAGTAACAAATCACTTCTATGCTTATGTTCATTATATAAATGGTTAGATCACTCAATATTATTTTTATATACAGAGTTCAGCAGTGAAACCGGATTATTTTTGATAGGAATGACAGTCTTTGATCATTATCACCACAACTTGTTATTTAGTAACAATTAACAATGGATTGTTGGGCAGATGAGACATAGGTGAGGATTCTTCATCAGGATATTCATAATTATCTTAACAAAATTTAAATTGTGCATATTTCTTAATCTAGATGATTTTCAATAACAAATCTAATTTTATAAGGATATGCTAAGGAAGCTTAAAGAAATTGATGAATGATGAGACACATTTTCACCTATCAAATTTTACAAAAATTCTAGTTACATTTAAAAGAATGCATAAATTTAAATGTAGGTCATTTGATAAGTGTAGTTTAAAGAAAATAGTTTTTTTTTTTTTGAACAAATGGTAACGTCTTATACTTTATATTTAAATTTACTAAAATAAAAATAAATTCAGTATTTAAAAAATAATTAAATATTGAAATCCTCCCGTTTTAATGCTGAACCCTATATTTAGTTTTATAAATACATCAATGATAATTAATATGGTTTAAGTATCAAAAGGTAGTTTGATAAAATTGTGTATTATTTTATTTTATTAAAAATGTTAAAAAAAAAAAAATTGAAGACCATAAATACTAATTGCAGTTTAGTAAATAATTATTGTTTAATCTATTATTACTTAAAGAAGACGAAATACCTGAATATGTTATTTCAGTCTTACTAACTTATAACAACACAAAACTGGAACTTTTGAACCTAAATATTGGTATACTATATGTTAGTAAGACAAAAATAACATGTGCGTGTATGACGTCATCAAAATTATATGTTTTTAAACTTTTTTTTAACTATCATAAACAGAAAACATCCAACCATTGCTGTCTGTGTTTAATAAATTTATATTTTATTGCAATTCACCACCTACTTTACTATAATGTTTCAAAGCTTCACCATAATTTTTATAAATATCGTCAATGTTAAGTAAATTCTGAGGCAATGAAGATCTGACAACATTATCATCTAATGAAACAAAACCAGCATTTGTGGATAATGGTCTAAATCTATAAATTAAATTTCCAATTACACAAAATATTATACAATACGTTATGAAAAATAACCAGTAAAAACATACTTAAATCTAGAATGACGTTCTTGAAGTGAAGCATTTCTTTGAAAATTTGATTTTGTCAGTTGATTTTGAGGTTGCAATATCATTAATGATGTTGCACATAACCCTTCCAGACAACCTTTAAATAGAATAATAACTATATCTACATACTCAAAATTGACTTTATTTTTTAACTATTTAAAATTACCTCCTAACCAAAGCCAATCATTACAAGAACGTAGTGTATCTATAGCAGTTTGATAGAAATTAAGAGCATCATTTAAAAAACCAGTTTGCAGATTTAAATCAGCCAAATGCTTGGTTACACGTCCCATACAACGTTTTTTATTAGCTCTAGATTCCATGTCTAAGCCAATGATATTACGTTTTTCAAATGGTGCAATTAACAAGGTGGCTTTATCCAACTAAGAAAAAAAATGTAGGTACTAAAAATATGTAGTAAATTTGATAACAATGCATACTTTTTCTTTTGATTTTTCCAGTCGTTTGGCATCTAATACCCAAAATAAAGAGGACAAAAATTCATTTAAATGCATTTCAATTGAAGGATTTGGATCATTATCACTAGCATAATATACATCTCTTGACTTGAAATTTGATGGTGTACTTAATTCTGGAGAGTTTGGAGCATTTACACCAAATATTATACATCTTGAATCATATAGAGTAGATTGATATTTAACTTTTAAGCTCTCATGTAATCTACATATTTCATTTAATTCAATTTGAAGTTTGCATTTAGCTAAAAAAAATATATACATTAATGATGTATATTATTAAATTTTCATGAAAATTATACACAAGATTATTTTGAATAATAAGCATACTATAATATTTAAGTATTGTAAAAATACTTACAAATAGTTATAAGACCCAAAAGGCGTCGATGTGTTTGAAAATCACCCCAATCATTGTTACCAACTGGATACTCTTTGATATATCTTGCTTGAACACATCGTTCTGCACCAGTACCATCTACTAAACGTAACTGGTTTATCCGACATATACGTTCAAAAAGACGATTAAAGTTTTTTGATGACAATTCTTCACCTGAAGACAATTTATTTCTTTTATTAAGGGAACCATAGTCAGTAAAAATAAACAAGTTAAAAACATAAATTAGTATCTTGTACATATAAATTATTTACCCAGATGTTTCACTAGTATAAGTAAAGTACCGTGATCATGCACAGTCATTTCATAGTCAGGATGTGACATGTTTGGGTCTTGTGTTGGAGTCGACAAAATGGCACTAACTGAAGATCTCATTGAATCCTGAAATTCAATACGTATATGCCAATTCAAAACATTAATGATATGACCATTCATAAAATGCGAATGCTCACCTGATTTTGAATCCAATCTTAAACAAAAATAATTGTTGATGGCGAGCACAAAATAGATTTGTTAAAGTAAAATATTGTCATTATCTAAATTGTAGACAATTCAATTCTTCTATATGACAAATAATTTTAATTCTTGATCATATTAATGATCAAAATTGTATTAAATATTTATGATAGTCAAATTTGTTTTCGTATTTCGTTTTTATTTCAAATTTTTTAAATTACTTATCTAATATCTACTCCAAAAAAATAAAACAGATAATAAACTTGATAACAGTAGCCAGTAGATCTGTACTCACTACTCTATAGTACACGTAGTTAATAAATAAATTTAAAAAAAAATATTTAATTATATTGTGTTGTTACACATATCAGTATAACACCATCACAGATATTCAGTAATATAATGTGTATACTTGAGTGACGAATATAATATGGTACTATTATAAATGATATTAATTAAATCTATTCTGTGGTTGTGGCACTTTATCGTATATACTCTATATCGTCGTCATTTATTTAGTACTCTAATGTAAATATAGGTTCCATATTTTGGGAAAAATTAATTTTACAAAATTGAATAAATAACAAAAATGTGGATAAACGAAGACTTTATTGCGAAGAAACTAAATAATTTGAAAATTTCATACATTTTTAAATAGGTACGAAATAATTTATAAACGTACATAATTTAGGTAATTTTTTGTAAATTTCAAACATCAAACGCTTATATAATAAAATCGTGTCTATACGTTTTTAATATGTTTAAACTGCTATAGTGCTATAAGAACAACTTATGTGAAGTCTTCAAACTTTTTAACCAAGTTTGAAATTTTGAATCAACTTAGAAAAGAAAATATAAAAAGCCTAAACTTGGTCTAAATATTTAAAAAATTTTATTGAGTATAAAAAAATGATAACTTAGGAAACAGAAGAATGTTTCAAATTAATACGATTAATATTCTTTAAATAATAACTAAAAATTAAAATCGTTTGAGGAAAAATTGTGATTTTACACATCAATTCCATCAAAATGTTAACTTAAAAATTTTTTTAGTTTTAGGCTCAATTTTTTTTTATTCTAGCATGAATAATTTTTGAAAAACCTTGTATTAAAGTTTCAGGCTTATTAACATTTATATATTTTTATTTTTAGAGAAGATTAAAGAAAATAGAAAATTTTAAACTTCAATGAAAAAAGTCAAAATATTTTGAAAATTATACATAATATGTTTAAAATATGCTATAAATATTTTTAGAAATTTTCAGATAACTATAGATTTATTTTTGATTACAAAAAAATAACAAAATCAATTTTGACAAAAAATAATTAATGATTTTTCTTAGTTATTTTTAGATTTTCTGAGTTATTAAGAAAAACGTTCGACATTTTTACTTTAGCCACCCAAAGGTCAAAGTATTATTGAGATCCACTTTACAACCAAATATGAGATAACGTATTGAAGTTAAATATTTCTATATAAATATTATACTTATATACCTACATCATTTTATTGAATGAGGTATGCTTCATAACTCATAAATAATAACAACCTTAAACCCTCTAAATACAAATAATACAATATAATACTAAAATATGAATTTTTTTTTTTATATATAAGTATATTTACAATCTGTAATAAAATTAAAAAACATTAAGTAAATTTGATATTTTTTTTTTTTTTACAAGGTTTGGAGGCTTGAGTGAAGGGGGCGTCCATTGACACTACTTCAAACTGGTTTTTTTTTTTTTTATTTAGCGAAGTAAATCAGGAGGCCAATTTCGTTTTAGTCGACGGGGAGGGTTGTCCGGGATAGTCTTAGAAGAGAGGTTTGAGATTAGTGGGTTTGGATGATTATTTGTTAATATGAATTTTTACGTAATATATTCGAACATTTTGAAATAAATGTATATTTTTAAATATTTTACTTAAAAGTACATATTAAATGTTTTTTTTTATAAATTTCTTATTCACAGACATATTAATAATAGGTAATCATTATAAGTTATTCTTCAAGAGAAATATGTTTAATGTATTGTTAATCGTAATAAATAAAATAGGTAATGATATTTTTTATATCGGTTGATGGTTATATCATCTAGCAATAGCTAGTGACGAGTTGTTCTTGTTAGTTTTATAATTCAGTACCTATCTAATTTTTTTATAGTTGTAATATTAAAATAATTTTAAATAAAAACTATTGGTTTTTTAAAATTTGTAATTCATAATTTGCAAAATATTAACATGAATATTTAAATATCTTGAGTTTTTAGTTCATAAAAATCCATATCCTAATAAGTATACCGTATACCTAATTTTATAATATTAAGATTTCGATAACGTCGAACCGAATTTATATTGACTCAACATTACCGGATTTCAAGATATATATATATATATTTTACTCCAGAATCCAGATGCATGTCAAAATAAAAAATTACATTTTCAAATGGTAAGAGATAGCTCAATAACACGATACGATAGTTGTTTGAAAATAGCAAAATTAAGCTGAAATTAAACTAAGCAATCGACTTACAGACTTGGATAAACACATACCTATTAATTTGAAGAGTAATAAACTACAGGAAATGTGTTACTTAAATATTTCACTGTTTCAGACATTCAAACATCAGTCATCAATCATTAACTTATATATTATTACAGACATATTATATTTTAATTTTGTATCTATAAATTGCTGCGACGAAGAGTTAATTACGGTCAATATTTATGTAATAATTTAATTAATATTACTTTTAGTCAATATTAACACCAAAACGTCCAAAACAACAATGTTATTTAGTTATTATGACATGACATATTAAATTTTATAATTTCTTATTTAATAAATGTCTAATGTTGTGTTATAACTTATTATAACTTATAAGTTATAAATGTTATAATATCAAGAGGGATACATCTTGGTTTATGGTTAAAAAAAAACTTAAAGCTTAAAAATTAAAATATGTTGTGATAACGTGATGGTGCGACACTGTTAGCATTGTTAGCAATAAAATGCACACAAATCCCGTCCTCGGGCAAAGTTATCATAAAACCGAAGTCTGATAACGGATGTGGGGATTTCCCACATTTTTCCCTGGCACTAAAATAGCATGGTTACCTAACGTAAACATACTTAAATCTTGTGGACAATTCGAAACGTCATATTATGTACTAGTACCAGTACCAGAATAAAATTGAATTGTTCACTTTCAACGGCGGATGCGATCGTCATATTATAAAAAAAAACCCATTTAATTATTTTACGCGTATTCAATGTTATAAAAAAAAATATATATATATATGAATATTTTTATTTGTATATCGATAGTTTTGATGTATTTTATAATATTTTTCACGTTTCGCTGTTTAATTTGACAATGATAACACTATGCGAGTGTTCGATTACAATATTAATAGTTTAATAATATAATTATTATTTTCATACCCGCTGGCCACCTTTCCTAGCATAATAATTTATTGTGCACAGTAGCTACGCGCACGATGATCCTTCACGACGGGATGATACTTAATGATGGCTCATCGTACCAGCAAAAGATGTTCGACAGAGCAGCTGTGCTATTGCAAAAGTTTCCATTCCGATTTCTCAACAGAGTTTCCAGAGAGAATGTCGAGCGGTCCGGCAACTCACGAAAAATGGCGTTTTACTATTCGAAACGTTTCCCAAACATGTGTATGAGCTCGTCGTTCTACGACGACATTATGAATATCGCAGAAATGCACGTCAACTATTATCGTGAGTATTATTGCTAGACCATTAATATTCCAATAAGTATTAGTTATTAGTAAGTGAATTTTGTTTCCTCTATATCCGACGGTCGTTATTTACTTTGCACGAACGGATTTATTGTATTGTTTGATAGTGTGATAGTGTTCTTAGTATTACTTGCTTATTACGAAAAGATCGAGATTAGGTATCTAACATATTTCAATAATAATTAATTGTACAAAATGCTATTAAAACTAAGTATTTCTTAATATATTACTGTATTATTCAATTATTAATACTAACAGAAACAGAATACAAACGATTTTACATTTTTACTACAAAAAGGTACACAAAATACTACTGTACAGCAGGAAGAACTGAATGAGTGTTTTAAGAGTGAAATGCTAACCCTTTATTCTGTAGCAACATTGCCAAATATAATCTTTTATATTATTGTAAGACTTTCTATTTTTTTAAGTATGGTATCTATTGATATTTTTATTTGTACATTGTACTCTTCTAAGTAATGACTTATTGTACTTAAATAAAGTTAAAAATAATATTAGACAATCGGTTCTATACATTTGTTCTGAAATTGCTAAAGGTGAGCATATTTTATTAAAAATTTTATTACCACTAATTTATTAATTAATATTAGTAATTTTGTAAATTGTTTACAATAAACTTAAGTTTGATATGTATAACAAACAGAAAATCACAAATGTTTAACAATTTCATTGATTACTAATGAAAATTTGTACTGAATTTAATGAAGTGATAAAGAAACAAAATATACCCAAAATATAATAATTATTAATTTGAATAACTTTTAAAAGTTTTATTTGAGTTCAATAAAAATAAAATTTAAAAAAAATCAGTTTGTTCTTATTTTAAACTTATGACAACCTTAAAAAATAGTTAATTTAATATCTACTTGTATTTTTGCTTGATTCTAAAAATATTATTAGAAAAATTATCAGCTGCTCTTAAGCTTATTATTATTAGTGTACTCTTACTAGATTTACTATTTATTCCAGTTTCAAATGCATATCCTGATGTCTAAGTTAGTTATTCAGTTTGTCTCAGTTAATACAAATTAAGATAGAAAAAAAAATCAAATATTTTATTATTTTATAATAAGACATATTATAATGATTATATTGTACACTGTATTATTATATCATTATTAATTGTACTATAATATTAAATAACTATACAATATTACTAATAAATAAAAATGTGCCTTTATATTAATAATATTTAAATTTAAAAAATTATATATTTATTTCCATAGAAGAGTTATATTAAAACAAAAGGTCAGTCAATATTATGACACGGTTTGAGGATTTCAAAATTTGGCAACCCTAATTATAACATAATATTTTCTTATATTATGTATATTATAGAACTATCAATCAAATCAATTATTATATATTGTATGTTAAGATTAGATAACTCAGCATTTACTGAAAAAATACAAACATTATTTAAATTAATATATTTTATAATATAATAAAGATACTAATTATTTATATCTAAATTAACAGAATCTCGTTGGTTTGATTTTGGTGAACTATATTCAGAACCATCTTTCAATGAATCTACAGTTCCTTGGACTAATCGTCCAGTATTACGACCAATAAATTCACAAAATACATTTGTTCATAGTGTCAATTACAAATACAATAACAATCAGAGGGAGTTAACTAATAGCCATACTCTTAAAGTTCAATTACCCAATAAACTAGTCACTATTCTAGTTCCAACACCTAGTTCTGTTGAATCATTTTCAGCATCTAGTTCACCATTAGATTTTGAAGAGCCTATTACACCTCTAAAATTAATGTCTAGAAATAATAATGATTTAAAAAAATCACCTGAAGAAAATAATAATAAAACACATGTCATAGAGGACAATGATACTAAAAATGGCAGCATTGACTCGGATAGTTCTAAATCAGATACTACTATTGATGAAAAGACTGTATCGTATGCGGAAATCATAAAATATTCTAAACCTACAAAACCTAAACAATCTGAAAAACCTGAGTATAATATTATTGAAGAATCTAAAAAAGAATCTATTAAATCTAATAGAATTCCACCATCTAAAAAAATTTCAATTAAGCTGCCCGATGCTCCGTTTTTACCAAATAATCAACATTGTGCATTTTGTAAAAATAATGGTGAAGAAGAATCAGTTTATAGAACACATTTTGTTAAAGATGAATTAGGGAATGTGAAGTGTCCGTTTTTATCAAGGTACACGTGTCCACATTGTAAGGCAACTGGGACTAAAGCACATACTATAAGTAGATGTCCATTAAGTAATAAAAATAGAATTAATAAATTCAATAAACAACAGTGATAAAACAGAATTCATTGTTAACATTGTTTTATTATAATTTTATTATATATTTATATATATTTTAAAATATTATTTGTTTAATTTATTGTTTCTTTTATCATAATAGAGCAAATTATAAATTTTAAATTAAAATAACTATATTTACTTGATATTTTTTATATTTTATTCTTTTAGATTTTGTTACAAGTATACAACTAATTAATAATTTAGGACAATTTTGTTCACGTTTATTCAAGTTTATAAAATGTTATATATTTTAAGATTTAAATGTTTATATTAGTTTATTTAAAGAATAAGTGAGATTATAAATAGACTATAAAAAGCCTTGTTTTTATAAAATTTCAAATATATGTTTTTTTTTTTTTTGTTATCTTATTATTTAATTTTAATTTTATATTAAGTGAAGTGTATAAAACAATTTTTTTACTTAAATGTCTGACTACTATTTCTCTATTAAATAACTTTTATGAATAATTGTTTATTTTTTTACACTTTTGAAACATCTTTAAATTATTTATTTATTCTTCTGGCATATTTTAGTTTTAACATTTTAGTTATGAAATTAAAATATATCATCGGTATTAATATTGCAATAATTTAATTTATTTGAAGACTCAGTATATCTTTCATACTTTCCAAAGATACTTCTATTTGCTTTATTCAATTGATAATTTGTTATTTAGTATTCTGGTAATAACTCATAAACTATTGACTTTGGGTTTAAGTAAAAATATTATACTAACTATTTAAAATTGAAAAATAATAGATGACTTTCTTTAAGTACAATACATGATAACATTTATTAATTTGATTGTAAATTATAACTAACAATAAGTATAAATATTTAGAACACATTTGATACTATAAAATTGTTGGTAAAAAAGTATTTAAACAATTTTTCATTTAAAACATATTATTTTCATATTTGTGTGTAATTAAAACTAATAGATATAAACATATAATTATATAACAAAATAAAAAAAGAACTTATAATAAAGTAACTGTCATAAAATGTACATACTGAAAAAATTATGTAAATATAATTACATTTTATAATACAATTAAAACAGATAATCAGTTATAAAATAAACTTCATGTCAACAAAATAGGATTTAATTTATCGGGTACTATTATCTTGGTTCTAGTTTTGTTTTTCATTTCAGGTCTATGTGGAAGAGCATATCTTAATTTTTCCCAAAACCAATAATCTCCCCACTTAATATAAGTATTCATAGACAAATAAGCTTTTAATTCTGGGTCTAAATCTTTAGTTGACATTTCTCCATAAAGTATAACAATTATACGACTGCGCCGTTCGTTAAGAGCACTGGAGTAAGCTGTCCTGAACTCTGTACGACCCCAAACACTGTCCAAAAAATGTTGTGATAATACAATAATGGTTCTTCGAGATTCATCAACTGAACGAGCAATTTGAGCAGGAATCCAATCACCAACTACCCAGTCTCTGTAGTGAAGACAAAGTTTAAACGGTGAATTACCTCCTTCCAAGCCCGGCACTAAATGCTTTGCAACTAGTTCCTCGTCTTTATGAGAGAAACTAATAAATGCATCATATTTTTTATCTTGATCAAGAGATTCTTCAGAAATTGGCCATGTTATATTATGAGAATACAGCCATATTTTAATTTTAGTCTTATAATTATTATACAAAACCCATAACAAACCTAATACTAAACTAAATACAGCTAAAAACATAGATAAAATAATGATTGTGGCAGTATTTAATCTTTCTAAACATACTTCTTCCACAGTCAGGGTGTATAAAGGAGTTGATGATTGATAGCATTTGATATTAGCCAAATCAAAAATCTATTAAAAAAAAAAAAAAATAAATACATACATAAATATAATATAATAATTTATAGTTAAGACTGTTAAGAGCTTCGTATTTTACCTTAGATGAATATTTATGAATAAAATGAATAGTATTCTTGGCATCACAATCACATATCCATGAATTACTATTCATTGTTAAGGTATTTATATTTAGTAATGTATTATTCAAATTTGTCTCACTAATCATTGTAAGATTATTATGTTCCATGTGCAATTCCTAAAATGAAAACAGACTTTAAAATATATTCATAAAAGTCTAAATGGTAATAAAAATCATGTGAAAATCTTAATACCCTAAGATCAATTTAAAGGTAGAAAGTTATGTTCAATAAATCATAACTTTTAGTATATTATAAACAACTCTAAGATATTAATACTAAGAGAAAACATCAAAACGTTAAAATATTAAACTTTAAATTGGTGGTCATGTTCACATTTATACAACACTAAAATAAATAACTGGCAAAAACGCCAATAAACTTCTAGACCGGGCATGTTAAATGTATAGTATCAACTAGACAAAAATAGATTACGCAGGCCACACAAATAACTTATTAAATAAAAAATTATTTTATACAAATGTATAAAAAATTTTGATTGGAAAAAACCTACCTATATACATTATACATAATGTATATACCAAAATATACTTATTTCTAAAATAGTTATGATACAAAATAAAATTAATTTTTTTCTTTAATTGTACTTAATTTTTTAATAATCCTGGTGGCCGTGGGCCTGTGCATCTAATATGCCAGCTATAGAATGATGAATATTCTTTTTAAAACAGAATAGGTTATTTCAAAACTATTTTTTTTTTTTTTTGTTTATCTGTATTATTTAAGGCGTATAATAATAGAATAGTTTTTATTAATATAAAAGATTACTGAAAAAACTTAATAGAAAAATTATAATAATTAAAACAATATAATGGTTAAAATTAAATCCTCTTCATTCAGAACATAAAACAAAATAAATATGCGTTTATTTTTAAATATACAACTATAAGTATATAATTTCATCAACTTACCATAAGATTTCTGGGTAACTGTGTTAGGTTAATAGTGTTTAAATTATTGTAGCCAATATTTAACTTCTTGATATTCAAATTTTCATAGTTTGGCAACTTGGTAATGAAATTATTTTTTAAATTTAATTCTGTATAATTAATATTTTTACTTGAAATTATTACTTTTGGTGCCAATGTTAAATTTCTATTTGAACAATCCATCAGGGCAGATTTGTCATGAGGACGGTAAGTACACTCACATTCTAAACAATCAGTTTTGTCTACATCCTCAAAAATTTTCCAGTCACATGTTAAATTTTCTATATTTATATTTGAAAATTCTGTACGTAAACCATCATTACATATCAATTTTTGTTCAATTTGTAAGTACTTATACACTATTTTTGGCATTTGATTATGTAAGAATCTTGCAAACTCATAATTACGACAATCACAAATGAATTTATCACTAGACAGATTTATTCGTCTATTATTCCAAAAATTGTGTGGTGGTGATTGTGCTCTAGCAAATATTTCTAAATTTGTCAAATCAATCACTTCTAATGGATTATTGTTAAGATTAGTTCTTACAATTTCATTAATATACTGAATATCTTGTGTTCTGAGTATAGTGAAGTTATTACCTGCTAAATTAATATTATTTAACTTAATTAAATTTAACCAGCCAGGATCAATACAATTTATATAATTGTAAGATAAATCAATAACTTCAATTTCATCCAAATAGTGTAATGAGAATGAATAATTTGAGATCAGGCTACTTATTTTGTTATGAGACAATTTCAATGTTGTTAATTTCGGGAGATTTAATGCTTCCCGTTCAAAATTTATTATTTGATTTCTTTCTAAATTGAGGTACTTCAAATTACTTAAGTGTCTTAAGCCATAATTGTTTATTTGAAATAGTAAATTATTGGATAAATCTAAGGTTTCTAGCTTTATTAATGGTTTAAGCAATTCATGGTTGATATTTTCAATTTGATTTTTAGATAAATCTAACAATTTCATTTTTCCAGCATCCCGAAAAAACATCACAGGCAATTCATTCAAACGATTTGAAGCTAATGATAATTCTTTAATGTTTGATGAATTCCAAATCATATTTTCTGGTACTTTTTCTATGTTTAAAGACCTCAGATAAACATAATGTAATCGGTTTAAGTTGGTTAAAAATTTATGAGGTATAGTGGTAAAATTACCATAGTTAAATTTTATAGATTCTATAGAAGTGTTTTTAAATGTTTGATCTGGCATTGTTACTAAAATATTCTTGTTTAATGATATGTCAACAAGTTGACTGAGATTTCCAACAGTTATGGATGTAATTCTATTATTGGCTACATCCAAATGCTTCAGACTCTGAACATTTAAGTCCAAAGTTGTTAAAAAATTTGAGTCCAAATTCAAACCTTTCAATGGAATACCATAAAACAGATCACTATTTATTTCGGTTATTTTATTGTCACCTAAATCTAATATTTCTAGAAGAGTGAGGGATTTGAACACACCATTAGGTAATTCTTCAATGTAGTTATGTCTGAGATATAATTTTGTTAGGTAAGGTGTTCCCTTAAACGATTCATTGGTTAATATTAATTTGGTAAGAGTAATATCTAATGTCTTCACACTCTCCAAATTTGACAGATAACCATTTTCTAGACTACCATTGAGTCTCATGGAAACTAGTTTCATATTTTGAACTTTGTTAATGCCAAGTGACGAGATGGTTTGATGAATTCCCATATCTGATAATAGACAATTTGCATAATTTAAATTTGTTATATTGATTTGATCAAAATGTTGTTCCCAATGTATTTTATCTGAATTACATTCAATTTTAACTATGGATTCCATCAAATTGGCTTCCACAGTTGATAAGCCACATTCCACTTGTATTTCATCTTTGTAAACATGATGCCTACATGAGCATTTATCACTACTTAAGCATAATAATTCCGATAATACTTGACCAAGAATTACTTGAAGTATAATAATGCTTATTAACCAGTTCATTCTGAAAAAATAAAATAAAATTTTTGCTTTAAAATTATAAATCAATTCAGTGAAAATATTGTAAATTGTATGTAACTAGTCAAAATACGAATTCTTCTTCTAA